TGAGCAATGTTCAACTTTTGAAGCTTCGGCGGAAGCGTCAGCCAATCGAATCATATGCCAGTACAAGCTCTAGCCAATCAAACCGCGTGCTTGTGTGTCCGGGGCGTGAGATTCATGTGATTGGTTGTTGGTCGAGTTTCAGACAAGCTTACCGTCAAGCTTCAACGCACGCCGCCGTGTGGACGCTGCTTTATGCTTATTCCACGGTGAATTATAACATTAAGTGTGTCTTTTAAAAAAAAAAAAAATTAGGGGAGTAATTATTAAATGTAGCTCTTACATTTTTTTATATCTCTCTCATAGTTCACGCCTCCCTTCGTTATTTCAGGAGGTGCACCGTTCATTAGCTTTTATATTTTACAGTCTGAGCCCTTTTTGGTCACATAGGGACTTGGTAAATCAGGAGTCACCATGCCACTGATCAAAAGAGGAGAGCGTCTTCACACACACACACACACACACACACACACACACACACACACACACACACACACACACACACACACACACACACACACACACACACACACACACACACACACACAGGAAGGATGGGTATAACTGGTTGGTTTCTGCAGAAGAGCTTTAAGTCCAGAAAGCCAATTTAAAGTTGTCTCCTGAGATATGGCACATAAGGAAGAATAAATGTAAAGACAATGAGAGAAAAAGAGAAGAGCACTAAGGAATTGTGCTTGTTAAACTTAAATGTGCTGCTCTGTTGGGACTTGCGAAGATTTAAAGAGATACGTAGAATAAATTATTTGTATTGTGACTTCTATGACTTGAAGTCTTTATCTCTGAAGCTTCGGACCAAAAGAAGTCTCTCTGATACTCTTCAAATAAGTGTTTCATCCTTTTCTGTAAGTTGGTTAGAAGTAACAATCAAATATAGTTCAAAGTCACTTATCAGTCTCCTTTTCACCAAGGCGCTGTGATATAAGCAACATCATTGTACACACATTAAGACTTACAGCAGGACCTCCTGTATTCTTAAGCAACTAACCATTTGCCCTAAGTGGCAACTCATTTCTGCCCACTTATAACTCTGTTGCGTTTATTTTAACCTGATTCCAACAGAGATGTGTTTGCCTGACAGATATACAATACACACACTGCATATATTAGACTCATAAACACTTTAAACGTTTATCCTTTGAGCTAATATTTGATGCTCAGATGGATGATGCTCAAAGAATTGCATGACCGCTTGTCTTCAGTAGTAAATACCTTCTAAGAAAGGTTTTTGTTCTGTTGTAAAGCCTACTTGTACGCAGTGCAGGGCAAACTACTGTACAAATGCACAGTGGAATGAATAGAGCGGATCATATGTAGATTATAAGGGGCATCTGTGTGGGTGCATCACACACTCACTTTGCACCCGCTTCTGCTTATTATTCTTTTGAAAAATCTGCCTTCTTATCTGAATCTGGTTTATTTTATTTAGAAAGAAAGAGAGAAATTATCTAAACAAAAGACATAAGAAATACAAACTGTGAAACCCCCAGAGCTTACTGTAGAAAAACATGTCACACAGAAAGAAGAAAGAGAAGGGACGTGTGTAGAGAAGACATATGAAATGAAAGGAAAAAATAGGCATGAATACATTTAATACAAGAAAAGTGGAAACGTTGGTTGACAGTAGCTGTATCTGATCTCCTGAACAAAAAAACTTGAGCTGGTTAAGTTGTTTGTTTCCGGGCTGAAATCCGCCCCAAGAACGCTAAATCTATAAGAATAAAAACTCTGAATTAAGAAAAGGTAAAGCTTTGCGATATGTGGCAAGTTTTCAAAGCAAGAGTGATGGAGGCGTTCTGAGCATATTATAAATCACACAGTGTAATCAAACTTAAAGGGTACAGCCTGCTGGGAAGCGTAGCACTTCTAATTACAATGGTGAGTTCTCCCCATTCATTTCGCCAATCACTCACGTCTGGGCTGTATCTCCGGAGCTCCCGTCCCCTGCTTCACTCACTCTATCATGCCTGGAACACACAGGTACACACACACACACACACACATCTGAAAGTTGGCAGATTAAAGCTCTTAATTTCCCTCCATATTATTTT